GATAATATTAGAGTTATATGAAAACAGGCAGCTTAGCATTATGACAGAGTTTGGAAACACGAATTTCATAAAAGCAGGTGATGGGATAGATCAAGAGGAGGTACTTGCATAAGCTGGTTAAGACCCAGTTTAATGTAAGTACAATAACAGTCAATAAGAACTTTATGGAAATACTTATAGGAAGTTGTATTGATTATCATTAAAATCATGAAAAGCACCTTATGTACCCTAAAAAAATTTCAGGAAGTGGTGATTCCTTTACTGAACCTGTTCTTAATTTGGTTGAAAAACAAAAGTTAGAATACCAAGGCAGGAAGCTCACCGAAAGGTGAAAATTTTGTTAGAAAATGATACATAAGTAGCGTGTGTATAGATTTTAGTGTAAGAAGTACAATAGAATATAAGTACAGAAGTAAAGGGAGGGCAGAACAGTTGTAGGGAGACTCTGGTTGACCTGTAAGGGCTCACTATCGAACCTACTCCTAACCCTCCAGATTTTAATCTTCAGATTAATTGATTCGAAATGAACTGTTAGTGCGGTTAAGAATGTAAGTCTTACTTACATATCTTAATCGTGCAAAACTATCAAATTGCCGGAACCTCTAAAGCCCAAGGTACCACAGAAGGCGTGAAAATGGCTTTGCAGCAGGTGGTCGAAAGGCCACTGGATGGTAATAACCCAAGGGATGGTTAATCTGTACAGTTCGGATCTTGATTTTTTGTAGACTTACATGTAATCGGTTATGACCGGATGAGGTTAATTTTAAATAGGATGGCAAAGGCATGTACTATTTATATCAACTTGAACACTAAATTATCTATATAAAACAGCAGCCAGCCAGGATTAAATACGTTAAAAGACAGAATGGGAAATCAGCAGCCAAGGTGCCCGGGTAAGACTCTTAGAGTGCTTGACACTGCAGTTCACAGACTAAATAGTAGTTGGTGGGCGATTTAAAATGAACAAAAACAAAGTATGGATCATCAAAGATAAATAGATATAGTAATAATTAACACCACAATCTTAAGCGAGGACCATATCTAGTTGCTTAAAATTATTTAGGTAAAAGATCTCTAGCAATACAGGGGAGACAATAGCTAAATAATGATGAAACCGCGGAATTGAGTGTAATTTTAAATCGGCTACTTAAGATATAGTCGATCGACGCCTGAAAGGGTAGTTAGTTAGTTCACTAACAAGAACCCATCTAGATTTAGTTTGGCCCAATTGTTAGAGTTGAAACCAAAGAGTAGGCACAATATAAAACAACAAATGCTAACCTCGGAAACTAACCTTCGCGAGCGAACTGAAATAATGAATTCTGAAGTGACTTAATTTTAAATGGATTTGAGCAGTTTCCAGTAAAGTTTAAAATTATCTCATGGATTTTGAAGTTATGGAGGGGAAGGTAGTCAATCAGAGAGACCCCGTTCAATGGCGCTAATCTTGAGTACTAATTATATATAGTTTAGGGAAACCCGGTTATGCTATGGCCTTTGTAAGGAGGCGTATGGAAAACCAATGCTATTACGAAATCCAGTCTTGCATAGTCAGAAAGAGTACTGACAGCTATCTTGAATGCCAAGATGGTGAGGCTGATATAAAGAATAGTACTTGGGAGGGCAACCGATAGCCAAATTCCTAGGGCATAGCATTGCTAGAAGAACGAAATGAAGACTATACATAAGACATCCGAGAGACCCTCATTGTGCGCGCTAATCTCTAGATACTCCTTGATCGAGGGGACCTAAAGAGGGACCTAATGACTTTGACTCTTAATGTGAGTCATTGCGTTTTATTGCGGGCTGAAATGGAAGAGAGAAACTCTAACCTTCGGTCATCTATCATATGGAATACGGCCATTCCTTAATAGACCAGCTACCTTGAGTAGATTAAAGCTATACCCGAAGGCACCGGTGTCATTAGAAGGGCTTACTGTTAGTAAGGCGACACTGGAATAGCTAAGGTGAGGTCTTTGTGATAGATAAATAATTTTACTAAGACATGATACGTGTGGATTATGTCTTAATAAAATTAGAACGATCTAGTTACCATGGGTGGAAAATCACGGCTTCACCTCTGTCCGATGGGCAGACTTCACCATGAATATCGACATACAATGTGTGACCTGCGTAAACTGGCGGCGAAGTGATGAAATACAAACCAAAGTGGATAATTTTCAAAGCCTAGGATTAGACTGGTATGAGAAAACTGCGCCGGAAGAAGCTTATCAGCTGACCAGAATACCAATCAAAATCTTATATAAAAGGTAGCGAGGTCTGAAACAGATACTAAGTATGGATTCATGGAGATCCAAAGGGTGTAGTAGAGTAAAACATTGGGACTAAGATTGAAGTGGGTAGTGGGTTTGCGTGTTAAATGCAAAGTAATATACGAGTAAGTAACTATTGGTGGGGTCCAATAGTATTCTGTTAACACACTCTGGAAGCCTTAATTGGCTAACTATCCAAGTACTGAGACACCTGCCTGGTAATGTCTCAGGCTGCTTGGAGTATATTGTTTGTAATTATTTCTTAACCAAGAACATGTGGTAACAGTGAGACTTTATTATAATGGAAGGTCAGAGATGGCCACCCAAGTAGGGGAGAGATACTTAAAACACCATTATAATAATTGCCTGTGTCACCCTTAGTGTAGAGAATTTTTTACGATCCTTTGCTATGTAGAATACAAAGAGCCAAACTTGGTTATGAAATGCAAAACATAAAACCCT